GTGAGGGCGGGGTCACGGAATTACAAATCAAACCAAAATATAATACAAAATCAAAACAAAATGCAAATCAAAATATAATACAAAAATAAATAGTAAATCATCAGTCCGTTATCAGTCCAAGTTCCTTATCATACTTCTAAATGTTCCCAATCAAGTACTAGTCTTGATTAAAATTACATCGTACCATACAATAATACTAATCCCCTCCACAGTTCACAAAGCACTTAAAAGATCACCAAAACCCAAAATGCTTCCGGAAGTATGATTTCAGTTGTAGTATTAAGTTTGGTTATCTTTTCCCCTTTATTCCAGGTCTTTGACAACATCATGCAGAAGTGTGGGTTGGCAGACGAGGGTGGTTCGGCACCGCAGAAGTTGAGCGACAGAAAAGCCGCCCCTCTACAGGCCATGAGTGTAGGAGAGGTACAGGACATTCTCCTGTACATGAGGGACTCTGCTGTCACACTGCTGGTGTTTCTGGAGGCCTATCCCAGAGGGTGTAGGGTGTTCCATCAGCAGAACATTGTAGCAAGGTACGGTTCTTACCTGTGAGATATTGATACTTAGGGTGTGGGTGTTTTTTGGTGGCTGAGCTGTGCGTGGGTTTGTGTGTCTTTGCCTTTTCGCACATGAAATCCAATTACACTTCTTGGATGTCTAAAATCTCTGAATTCTTGTATATTCAATTTATTTACAATTTGAAAGTACCGTATATAATATTATGGAAATTTTGTTTTTCAATGTAATTGAATAGACGTACGGGTATGTTATATTTCTTGTTGACTTTTGATGTTTTTCCTTGTTGCAGAATATGCAGTTTTTATGAGTCTGTTGTTCCAGCATTAGAGATACTAGTGATGGACAGAATATCTCAGGAGACAGGGAAGTAAGTAATGTTACTGTTTGGAACCTGACCTTTATTTGTATTTTTACACCATCAAGAAAAAAAGCCCAAAAAATAGCAATTCAAAATTACGACAATGACACATTTTATAGTAATACTCACAATTCACTAAATAGGTATCTTAGTCCCCTTTTGAAGTTGTACTTCCAAGTATGGATATTTTATGGGAGGCTGACTTGTTGTTTGTCTCTCGTCTGTCTGAATTCTCTGATTTCTTGTTCAGTTTTGAAGTGAGTAGACTGTATAGCATGTTACTATCACATGCTATTTGAACACTAAGAGTTGAGTGTGTTTTGTTTCAGGACCAACTGGAGTGAGTTAGATGCAGTTCTCAGCCAGGCCAGAGGGATGCTGGTCAAGTTATGTCATCACATCGTCTCCACATGCTGCCTGCAACCTATTCTAGAAAACAGGTGAAACAACTACTGTAGATAATTATGGAAACTTTTGCAGTGGTTTTATTATTGCATTATCTTGACATGCTGGCTACAGCCTATTCTAGAAAACAGGTGAAACAACTACTGTAACTCTTGAAACTGGGGAAGGTGGGAGTAAGTGGGTAGTATATGTATATGGAGGAATTTAGGTAGCTACAGATTTTCTTTTTTTCCCATACCATTCCACAGTGGAACTCCTTACCCGGCCCGGTAGTCATGGCTCCCAATGTTGAGTCGTTCTGGGCTGGGCTGGCGGCCTGCCCGCCTTAGCCTTGACCTCCTCTCCCCCCTAATGGCACCCCTCGTGGGGTTATTTGGGGGTAACGAAGAGGAAGGAAGCGGTGTAATACTGTACCTGATGAAAGCACATACATACAATACACAATATGTGGTCGTACCAATATTATCAGCTAAATAGATGCCCATATTGTATCATCTCACTGAAATCCCAATAAAGTCAAAGTACAACCCCCTCCACAGTTCCAATACATTCATGAAAACATTTCCTAGACACCTGTGCACTTGAAAGTCGCAAAAAGCTAATTAATAAAAATACTTCCCTAAAGTCTGAAATCTCTGATTTCTCATTTCCAGTGAATCCCTGGAGGCTGTGCTAAACTATGTAGAGGACTACCTCCATGTGATGTCTGCTGTGCTCTCAGAGAGAAGGTGAGAACATTTATTGATACAGAAACTCTAGAAATGTTTCTGATGAAAATCATACCAATAGTAGTATTTACTGTACTATCATTACTGCACAGTGCACATGTATTATGTGATTGTCCAGCACTACTAAATTATATGTATTTTGGTAATTCTTGTATATTATCTACCATTAATGTACAGTTTTCTTATCTGTTATCAATGTACAATGTGATGGTTTGTAACTGATTGTTCTTTTGTTGCAGATTTCTCCATGATTTAGACTGCCTGTTTAGTGTACAAGAGGACATAGACCTTATTCACCAGGCCTGCGATAGTGTGTATCCTTCTCAATTCAAATCCAAAAGACACACTCACACACACACACACACACTCACTATCCCATTTAGCGTCTGTTGTTCCCCGACTTCCGAGGGTTAGACATGCTTGCACAGCAATACTGCAGCTTGATGGCAGTCCGCCATATAGTCAGTATTACTGCTATTCCACGTAACACATCAGCTTCACAGGTATGCGGCGTGGCGGCAGCTGGCTACATTTCACCGAACGCCTTGTTACACCTAACTTTTTCACATGTAACATTAACTTTTGTTTAAAGCTGTCCGGTGATGATGCCCCTGCTGTACTTGGTGGCAGCAAGTTCTAATGCCATATCTTTTGATGATAAGTTGTTCTTCCTTGATGAGAGTTGCTCACAGAGATGTCACCAGAACAGATTTTATTCTCGGAGCCGTTGACCAGGCCTATCAGTCATTCGGCAAGGACAGGAGAGCAAGGAATGATGGGAATGGACCAAACCATGCTGCATCGTGGAATGGGGAGCTGAAGGCTGATGGGATTGGAGAGACACTTGTGAATAGGGTACAGCAGGAGGATTTCCAGGATGATACTGCTCTACAGGGTTTGGTGAGTTTCTTACAACTCTTTTAAAAACATCATTCAGATACAGGTGGTCTACAACACTGGAACATCAATGTACCAACACTGTACCCAAATAGTCTTACACTCAAGCATAGAAGTTATTGAATTGTTTTGTTACTAAACATGTGCAATTTCTACTAAAAAAAAAAAGAAAATTAGCCCTGGAAAAGAAGAAATGTTTAACATTGCATGGCCATTGAAGTCAGAACCATTTTTGATTTGAGATCCTTATAACATTTGCATACCAGTTTTGCGTGTTTTGATTATGTGTTTTAATTTTGTCCATCTTCCCATATCCCCAGGAGGGAGCCTGTGCATTCCCCCAGCCGAGTGGAGTTGAGATGGACTCACTCATCAGTGCATTTAGAGATCTCCTGCCTGAACTTGGGGAGGGCTTCATTATGGTAATGTTATCTCATCTCTTTTTTATGTTTACCTTTGCAGAAGGAAAACACATTGTTTTTGCTCATTTTCCTCTTCTTCTTCGGATCCAAACGCATGAGGTCAATGACCTGGACCAGATGTCTGTCACCATGGTAACTAGTGTTGTAGCAGACACCATGTGGTGTTGGGTTACATTATTTAGCAGAACAGAGTTGGAGAGCCTGCTCACCATAAAGAATGTAAAGAATAAACAGTGCAGTAGTTTGTTAGGCTAGACCATGTGAAGGTACTAAGCATGCATTTGCTTTCCAAATGTTATCTTTCTGGTATATTTTTCATCTATAGAACAAAGGAGGAAGTATAAAGAATTCCAGTCATCTTGAAAGTTTCTTTCAAAGGTTGTTAGTTTAAGCAACAGAAATTTGTTGTTTGTTACTTGATTTTCTGTTGACAGTGTTAATGTTTGTTTTTCAGGCCTGCCTAGAGGAGTATGGGTATAAAGTTGAGACAGTCATCAATGACATACTGGAAGAAAAGCTACCTGCCAAGCTGCAAAAACTAGACAGAAGTATGAAAAGGTAAAAAGTAGTTATATTTCCATATTTACGTTATGTAGCTAGTGGCAGGACAGAGTTGGAGGGGCTGGTCACCATATAGCATGAATGTGTTTGAGTTAAAAGAATAAACAGAGCAGAATACATGTAGTTTATTAGGCTAGACCATGTAGTAAAGGTAAACATAAGGTAAAAATTCACTTTATGTTCACGGTAGCAGAAGTTCTCAGTCTGAGAAAAAAGGACATGTTCTCGGAACTAATAAATATATAATATTATTCATGGTGGTGACAGGTGCAGGAAAACGAAAGTCCAGGAATTATTTGTTAACTTAACTGTAATGATAAGTTCACGGTACAGAAGTGACAGTGCAAACAGTGAACATAACAGTACAGTGAAAAAATCAGGAATTACAGTATGCATTTTTTCCTTTCCACCCTGTCTTGTCTTCACCAACGCAGGCCAGCTGAAAAGAAGAAGGAAGAGGTCGTTGACATGACCTTGCTGTCTCAGAGAGCGAACGTCTTCGCAGGCGATGAGTTTGACGTCTTCTCGAGGGACGACATCGACATGTCCAAAGTCTTTAAGGGGAAACGGTGAGACTTTGGGAAGAAATTGACACCAAGGATCTCATCATTTGTTGTGCATGTTAAGTCTGTCAAAATCATCTCTAACCCACCTAACCTATAGGTTTCTTAACTGTCTTCTTTGAATAGTTGATAACAATATTTTTTATCTCACCTCATCTATCCCTTCTAACTATTTGACCATTGGGGCGCCACAGAAAATCTGACAACCATTTTTCCACCCTCCTCAGTTTTCTGTTTTTCTTAAGGTTTCTCATTCTCTGATGTCATTTTCTTCTATCTTTTCCATTGCCTACCCCTTCTTTCTTCCTCTCTGGACTGTTCCTTAATAGTTTTGTCCTGATAACTTTGTTGATCAGTTTCCATTTCTTTACTGTTGTTTGGATGTCTTTGTAAGGACCTACATGTATGTTTTTTAAAATCTTTTTCTCACTTATATTGTTGATATTGTTATTTGTGTATATATTGGTTGTTATATGTAAGTGTTTGTCGATGAACCCTGGAAGATTAGCCCCTTATGGGACTAAATGGTATCTGAATAAACTGAAACTTAATCATTTGACATGTGTTCTCTGTATAACATCTCTCTACAGAGAACCTAAGGAGGTGAACACCAAGAAAATCATGGACGAAGAGAAACCCAACCTCTCTTCTCTAAAAGAGCAGTATTTTAACTACGGAACGTACGAGAAAGTTCCGGAAGAGGAGTTGAACGGACCAATGGCAGCCCTGCGGATGGTGGATGACTATGATGATGAGTATGACGATACTTACGACACCAACGATATTGGTGAGATGGACGCAGACTCGGCTGACGATATGATCAAAGAGAACAAGGCTGTCGAGGAGTATGGAAGGTGACGTTTTGGTTTTCTTGTTTTTTTTACCATTTTGGGGCCTTTCAATGGTACCAAAAGAGTTGGGGCAAAAAAAAAGAAATATAATATATAAAGAATTAACACTTTTGATCCAACACAAAGGGTCTGATCTTACCTAGAGCTTTCGACCAGTTCCTCTGATCTTTGTCAATAGTAGTATGACCCAGTGAGGCTTGTCACCTGACTTCTTTGAAGTGTGACGTCAACACTGGGTCAAGATTAGGAACTGGTCGAAAGCCCTAGGTAAGATCAGACCCTTTGTGTTGGATCAAAAGTGTTAATTCTTTATATTTAGTTACCAACACAGATGAACTTTCATGATAGTATAAGAAATATAATAAGTTAGAATTTTGTCTTTAGTAGTTTTATACTGTATTGTTATCCATTGTCCATCTTTTACTTTCATGTTACATGTACACACACAATGTACTTTAGATTAGCCTATGGGCAAGAACTTGCAATAAACTTTCGACTATAATCGAGTCATTGTGGATGTATGTGTGAACTGCAGTTGGTTCCATGTTTGACGAACATGTTTTTGTGTCCGTTGTACAGAGAGTTTGTGACTCCGAGGGTGCTGGCTGGTAACCAAGGAAGGAGAGGGAAGGAGGAGGAGCGGAGTGATGAAGAGGAATCTGAGGAACAAGGGGGACCAAAAGTAAGACTATACAGTTACTGTATGACATCTCTGAATTTTCCAGTTGTGAAAGCAGTCTTGAACCAGTTGAGAACACTCTTCTACTAGTTGTTACAGAGAAGACAGACGCTGTGTACAATGTACAGTATTTACAGGTTCATTGTACCAGGAAAATTCCCCTAGCCCTTTTTGACAAGAACAATGAACAGTAGACCGCCAAAGGACTGCAACCCTTTTCAGTAGTGTGCATGTTGGGTGAGCGACATCAGCCAGGATTGGAACTAACCCAGGCAGGGTTGCTAGCCACTGGACTATGCTCACTACTAAATTTGTACATACATTTTACCTGCTTTTGATGTACCTTCAAACCAGGTTCCACAATGCATTTGCCTTCAGAACAATGTTATCGTGGTGCATCAGTGTTCTAGACAGCATCCACCTTTCCGTCACATTTCAGAGGGTCAAGATTTTATGATGATGATACATCAGGAAAAATTGGGATTGACAGAAAATGATTCAAGGCTGGCTAGAGCACTGTCAGTGGTGTATGTTGATGTTTCACCATTTATTCCCCTGCAGGATAAGAAGGAAGACTTTGTCCAGGACCCGGCAGTCCTGAGGGAGAAAGCAGCTGAGAGGGCAGCGTACAAGGCACAGCGACAGGGCAGGAGGTAAGACTGCCTACCTGCCTAAATGCTTAGGCCAGAACTGGCCCCTTGCTCCTCTTCATTTTTTCCCGCCAGGCATCACGGTCCTTAGCCTTTCGTTCAGCGTACTGATGGAACATTAATACAAGATGTCTTGAATATATTTTAAAGTTAAGCTGTTCTCCAACTAAAATGACATTAGACTCACCGATTTTGAATAGCTTGTAGTTCCTGAATATCTTGTGGAAAATTTAAGTTGTTCTCCAACTAACATACATTAAACTCAAATTTTGAAGTGAGCCAATCTTAACCTGAACTCGGTCAAAGTTTATCACAAACACCCATAACCTTCCTGTCATCTTTCAGGGGACAAAACAGAAACCAACAGGAAATCCTGAAAGGTCAAGCCAAAGGTCAAGGTCAAACAAAAGAGACGGCTCACAGCAGAAGACAGAAGGAGAAGAATAAGTCCAGCCGGGCCAATCACAACCGGCGAGCCATGGCGGACAGAAAGATGGCCCGGGGGATGGGCCCACTCACGTAGACTCCTCTGTAGAACAACACATTGGCCTTTCAAATGGCAACGTTCTTTACTCACAACCACTTGTTTGACAAGAGCCGACATTTTGAATCTTATTTGATGACTGTCATCTTCATCAGAGCAATTATGACTGGTTTCCTCAAGGAGGTTGAAACCTTGGTTTACTGTGCACTGAAGGTCATCAGTGAGGTATAACTGGTTCCTAGTGTACTGAAGCTGGGTGTAGCAGTAGCACCTGGCTGATCAAAACATTGGCTCTTGTTATACAAGTGGTTGTGAATAAGAAAATGTTGCTATTCACCAACCTGATGAGATTTTTCATGTCTTTTTTGTCTTAACCTTTCACACACTGAAGTAGCCTTTTGGCCACCAACTCTTCTCTTCTCGCTCTGGCCGTATTCAGTTTTTCTTGTTTATATGCAAACATATCCAAGAATATGGCAATGATACACCAGCACCAATCATAAGCAAAAGGTCTTGTAAGTGATGAGAGATATTGTCTTTGTCAAATTGATGCAATGTTCTTCTGAAAAAAAAGGCCAGTATTACTTTTAGAGAGACTTATGCTCTCTACTTTTCTGGATGTGGAACCAGTGACACTATAGCTGAATCTTGTGCCTACATGTCAACCACTGCAATGTGTACACATGTATACATGTGAGGAGATGTAAGAAAACAGTGCCAATAGTACTATGTTATTCTGGATACATAGTGACAGATTGCATAACTTAATGTCTTACGGTGATGTTGTAGGTCGTCACCTAATTTTGATGTTAGATTGTGGACAAGGATTTAAGGCATATTTTTCCAAAACAAGATAGCTGAATTTTTCAGGATAAATACACGACTGTCAAGAATGTCTTCAGTTTGCAATTGTGATTGTACAACGTAAACACAAATTGTGACGTATACTCTACGTTAGTTTACCTAACATTGTGCTGTAAAACCAGAGACGATATTGTAAAGAAAGGAAACACTTCACTTAATTGCTGTTGTTTCTTTTACATTTGTTCATAAAGTAAAAGGCAAACGTAACATCACAAGTCGTTTCAGGCCTCTTGAAGATTAATGTCGAAAAGTTTCTTGCGTATCTTTTGCAAATTAGAAAAGTACTTGGAGATGGAATCCTCCACCCTCCTTGCCTTTACCTTTGCGTACTTGTCATCTGCAAACCCCGGCCGGGTCATACAAAAGACTTTAAAAATGGTACATACTGCTTTCTCCGCTTAGCACTCAGCACATATGAGAAAGAGTGAGAAGGTCAAACACACAGCACTACCAACGCACTAGCCCCCTGCTGTAGTTCCTTGCACAACTGTGTGTCGCCCAAAGGCTACAAAATGGAGATGGGCACCACCCTACACTCGGCATAAGAGCACGGGAGACCTTCCTTCCATTCACTCACTCATTTCATTGAGCTTACTCAGAACCCATATACATGTATGACTGTTTCCTTTATTCATTGTTGTGACAGAGAGAGAGAGAGATAGAGACTGGTTTATTTGTACTATATAAGTACACACAAAAGCCTGTAAGCAGCCATATTTGGCTGAATTGAGAAGGCTTTAAAACATAAAATGCACTTAAAGTACAGCTATTTGATAAAAGCTCGTTACATTTGATAAAAACCTATTCGTTGCATATCAAATTTACATTAAAAATTACTACACGTTAAAAGTACAATAATGCAATATAAATACAGTCGTGCGTATCCATAATTCCAGATATAGAACATAAAGGAATTGTCCAAATGGCTGCCTACTTACAATGAGTGCAAGAAATTTCACCAAAGACTACAAGTACATCTATTAGTCTCCCAACGCAATACATAGTCTTGCAAAGTGCATTTATTCCCCTTATTATGTAATAGAAGCTGCCATACTTACATAGTAAGCAATTTGTGACCAAGATGACTATGTAATGACATGATATGGCAAGGCAGATTCGAGGTGTTCAGTAGTGTCTCCATAGTTAGCTAATCCCTAGTGACGATTTGCTATAACTACTAACGGCTTTACTCTACTCATGGAGGGCACTTTTACAGGATCGAATATTCTTCAGTAATTTTGCTATGTTGGGATGTGCTGGATTGTCCCCATAGATAACTTTCATCATATCCAGTGATTGTTTGAAATACCACATGACTTGACTGTGATTACCGAGATGTTTCCAACATTCCCCAATGTTGTTTAGTGATATAGCAATGTCAGGATGTGGCGTTGTTTCCCCATAGATAGCTTTCTCCATCTTCAGTGACTGTTCATAATAACTGATAGCTTTCCTCTTATCGCCAAGGTCACTCCAACATGCCCCAATGTTGTTCAGTGATTTAGCAATGTCGAGATGTGGCGTTCTTTCGCCATAGATAGCTTTCTTCATCTTCAGTGACTGTTCGTAATAACTGATAGCTTTCATCTGATCACCAAGTTCATCCCAACATGCCCCAATGTTGTTTAGTGATTTAGCAATGTCTGGATGTGGCGTTGTTTCGCCATAGATAGCTTTCATCATCTTCAGTGACTGTTTGTAATAACTCATAGCTTTCTTCTGATCGCCAAGGTCACTCCAACATGTCCCAATGTTGTTTAGTGATGATGCAATGTCGGGATGTGGCGTTGTTACGCCATAGATAGCTTTCCTCATCTTCAGTGACTGTTCGTAATAACTGATAGCTTTCCTCTGATCACCAAGGTGACTCCAACATGCCCCAATGTTGTTTAGTGATGATGCAATGTAGGGATGTGGCGTTGTTTCCCCATAGATAGCTTTCATCATCTTCAGTGACTGTTCGTGATAACTGATAGCTTTCTTCTGATCACCAAGCTCATTCCAACAGACCCCAATGTTTGCAAGTAATGAGGAAAGTACAGGACTCAGTGTGTAGTCTGCATAAATATTATTTCCAGCGCTCAGTGTCCGTTCGTAGTAGCTCTTCGCTTTCTCATAGTCACCGCGACTGTGTGAGACACTGCCTAACGCAAAAAGTATCTCAAGCTGCTTTTCCTCGTCATCACTCGCCTCTTCCAGTGCTGCCTCGAAGTGACGTATGGATGCGTCAAACTGCAACAGCTGTTGTGTTATTCGTCCCCTGGTTTGAGATGAGGTGTCAAAGATGGCAGCTGGGAATATCTTTGTTGTTCGGTTATCCTTTTTAACTGTTTCCACAATGCATCTTTTTAATGGAATGGCTGTATAGTAGTACCTGAACAACATTTTAGAGTCTGGTATGTGGAAAACTGATTCAACGATGGTGTCATCTACGTCGTCATGTTTGTCCAGTTGGACTTTCATCTCCGTGAGAGGAGACATTCTGTCCTTCTGTCCTCCGTTGGCAATGTACGTTCTTAACCGTAGCTCCGCTGAGATGCTGATCAGTACAGTCAAGTGGTGGGCATCTTCGTGACTGATCCGCTGTGTCTTGTGTAACTCTTCTATCATTGCCCACACACTGGGGATCGTGATACCACAGCAAATACTCAACACATCAACGACCACGCTGGGAAAACGGTAGATTTCTTTCTTGACATTCAGAAGTTGGTCTGTTGGTTCAACTTTTTTTATTTCCCGAATGTTATCCTTTAGTATGAGCATTGCTGACAATCGCGACAGAACAGGGGAACGTTCTACGCTTTTGTTGACAATGCTTGTATACTCATCTACCAAAGATTCATCCCCTGTTAAGTAAGTCACACGTCTGAGGACGTCTGACAGGTGATAGCCTTCCGCTTGGGCGATTCTGATATTCTGATACTTAGCCAACTTGGCCGGAGTCTGGATGAGACTAATCGGAGGTTTGCTTTTGGTTTTGTCTCTTCCAAACGGAGTCTTAGAAGCCCATGGCATGAAGCCGTCAAAGGCAAAGCCGCGAGGCGTGACGGAGTCGAAGAACCAGTCTTTCTCTGGGTCTTCCGAGAGAAAGTCGTTGAGTGACGGGATGGCCATGGCTGGGAGGATGGTTTCCCCAAGGTTGATGACTTTGAGATGTAAGTAGTGTGTGAGATTTAGGAAGTACCTCCGTGTATCATCATCGCCCTTCCCCTCCTCAGTCAGAATGGCGAACTCCAGGTCGGAGTACGGCGTCACCAGTTCTGTGGCTTGTGACCCCAACCCCATGAAAGCATACTTACAGGGAGGAGGTCCGAGTTTGGCAATGCATTCGTCTGTCAGTACTTGGATGAACTCTCGTCTTTCTTTAGTGATGCTCTTGAACAAGTTCTTGATTGCTTCAGCTCGTTTGATCTCTACCTCTCTCACGACGGGATCGTCTTCATCATACTGATAAGGGTTGTGTTCCTGATGAATTGCGTCGAGCTGAGATTTTGCACAGGCGCGCGAGTTGTCCAGTTCTTTTCTGTGATCTAACGCGCTGCTATACGGACACGGTTCACAGTCAAGGTTACAAGTGTTTCTAAGAAACTGCCTTTCAGTTTCTTGCAGTTTTGTTACCATGTTTTGTTTGTCTCCATCTGTTCTGGCCATGGAGGCGTTATACAGAGCTGCCGCCTGTGTGAATTTCCTACCTTCTCCTGTCCGCTTACCTCGCTCGACGTAGACGTCACCCAACCTGCACAGACAGTCGGCTTCTTTAGCCTTCCTTGGTTTACTGCGATCTGTAGGTAGGAATTTAAAAAGATCAGACAAAAGGAAGCAAAGTTGTGCACTTATTTCTAACTTTGTACAAGACGAAGTAGTCGTCGATAATAGAGAAAAATATGCTAATTGAATTTTCAATGAAAAATACAAGATTGAGATTATATTATGTATAAATAAAAGTTTTAACCGACCGTGAACCAGCTTCAGGGCGGCTGCTAGGTTCTGCTCTGCTGTGTCCAGGTCTCCATTTCTCACCTCACGGTCTGCCGTCTGGATGTACCTGCGGTAGGAACTGAACAGCAAAACAAACGTTGTGAAATAATCATGCTGTACAATAGCAATATTATGCCAGTCATCCTTAGTATTGTGACATAAATCTGTACAGCCTATACGACTGTTACACACAGTAACATTTAATGACGTGTGATACATTTCCGGCCATATTTTCTTTCGTTGGCTAATTGATCGTTAGCAATCCTTTACCAAAACTTGATATTTAACTTGGTTTAAATTTATGCCCTTTTTGTATAAAGAATAGTCCATGGTCCTATATTCTAATATATTGGACCGGAAACAACATCTGTTACATTAGACAAGAAAATAGAATACTAACATGTCGTCAACTTGACTTGTGGTCCCGTCGCTAGAGGGCGCAGCTGAGAAGGCAGAGAAGTGGCCCTTCCGTCGTCTCACGTCTTGTTGTTTTTGCGCACGTGTTACCCTCTAAAAGAACCGATAAGAAGTAGTATATGATCAACAGGTGGTCATGTAGTCCACAAACGAGCTTTACTAAAGGTCAAAGGTAAACGACCTGACATGACCCGTGGCAGACCAACGTAAACTGTGATTATGTTGAATACAAAATTTCGGAGATAAATGTAAAATGTGGCGATTGGACGCTTATTCGGACATCATTTCACTACATTCCATCATATTGTCAAGATGTGCACATACTCACACATACGTGTATCTTAACAGCTTCTTGCACTGTCGTCAAAGGTTTAGTTCAAAGTTCACCCATACGTTTGTTAATGGAAAATGAATTAATCAAGTTAATAAAGTGATATAAGAAGTTATTCTAGCGGAAAAAAGTTCTTGACGTTAATCGACACGTCTTATCACCGTTAGTGGCACTAAAAACATGACAAGATTTATGATTTATGGAAATAAACAAGCAAAGTCAGAACCCGGAAGCCAGCATGGCGAGTTCTGAAATACTTAAAAAGTCAAAGTAGTTCGCCCACCTTGTTTCTTGTGGTGATGTCTTGTCTGATTTTTGCGGTGTGCAGTAAGCGGTGAACAATGACAACTGTTCCATGAACGTTGTGACACCGCGCCAGTGCCCTGTTGTACAGAGCAGTAGCTCTGGTCAAGTCTCTAGTGTTTCCAGTTTCTGTTCCTCTTTTCAGGTACACGTCACCCAGACTCTTGATCGCTTCTGTTTCTAACTTGCTGTTGTCGTTTACTATCGCCTCTACCATAACCTGTGCGTATCCAGCCAGCAAAGAGTCTGTGTTACCTCCGGTAGCCCGTCTCTTGTCCAGATCTTGAAACTTTGCCGCTACCTTTGCAGGTGTAGTCGTCTCCTTGTCTTCAGTTGACTGTTCCTTACCCTGTGACGACAGCCCTTGTAAAAGCCTCTCCGTGTAGTGGTAGCGGTGTTCTATACCATCTGCCTGTTCTTCATGGTAACACCGTACCATAGCAGTAATGTAAAGCGCCAAGGCTGTGTTGAACTTCCCCACGTCCTTCCCGAGTCTTCCCTTCTCCACGTTCACGTCGCCCAGAGTTTTGAGCAGCTCCACTTCCGCCAGCCTTTCCGTGTCGGCCATGGCGTCCACCAGGGCACGGAGGTATTCTGTCTCCGCCCGGGCTAGTCCGTACCTCCTGCCCTTCTCGTCCGCCTCACGTAGTTTCTCACACACCCGCAACATGGCGACTTTCTGCTACGAAAACATCTCTAAAACACCTTGTCTTCACGGTCTCCGTACTAGCTTTATGCGCCTGACTCGAACAGGCACAGGTTTCACACTGCTTGTGTCAACATTACGTCATCCGCCAATACAAAGGTCAAAGGTTCAATACACAAAAGGTTCGGAAATACCCGTAAACTGTAAACATATCAGGTAACCTGCGTACGTGCCTATGCCTTAAGTGTTCAAGCCAGGGCCACTTTCATGCATATGTTTAAGGTTTCCCAGGTAGCCTGGTTTTTCGTCGCCACCACTGCAACTTTAGGTGCTTAAATTAGGGCCATTGTCGTCTTTGATAAGATCTTTCTACCATGTCGTGGCGTGGTGGCGCAACGGTTAGACCGTTACGTTGGACTCGGAACCGAGAGGTTATGGGTTCGATAGTCACCGTGACCCGACGTTGTGCCCTTGGGCCTTGGGAAAGGTACTTTACACGACTTCCCCACCATGTACGGAGGAGCCTCTTAGGCTAATTGTCTAACTGGGTGACAAAAACACCCAACGGATTTGGTCCGCCAATGTGTCAACATCACACATTTGCGACCAAGAGCCGTTAATTTGTTTTTACCATGTTGGGTCTTTTATGTGGTCTCGTGTTCGGGAAACCCCGCTGTTATACCTTAGGCCATATTTGTACAATCGGGAATTACAGTACATTGGTGTGGCGAGTGACCCCAACTAAACACAAGAATTCCCTATTCGCCAAAAGGTCTACTCTACTCTATTATTATGTACTGTGCAGTCCGATAGCCAGTCTCCGCAAGGGCTAGTCCGTACCTCCTGCCCTTGGCGTTCGCCTTACGGAGTTTTTCACACACCCGAAACAATTTACTTCTGCTCTGTGTGGTATTAAAAACATTGTGGAAAAACAAGACCTATCATGTCATCATTGTCTGCTGGTAAGAACCCGCATAAGGATAAGGCTGGTGCTGTCCTTGGTGCTGATCATGTCATTCCGCAGTACCTGCTAGATGGCGCTTCAACACAGTATAGCCACCTCTAGATCGGCACGATTCACGGCAGATGCGGCAGTTATTAGTCCTCAACAGTCCTCCATAGACAACTATGGGTGTGGCTGATATGTATGTAGATATAGCGTATTGTGTGTGGAAGGGCTACAACATGTCAACCAACATCCTGTATTCTGTTTGCTCAAGATTTTACTTCTGCTGTATGTGGTAATGAAAAGATTCGTCACCAGTCACGGCAGATGTGGCAGTTATTAGTCCTCAACAGTCCTCAATAGACAACTATGGGTGTGGCTGATATGTATGTAGATATGGAGTATTGTGTGTGGAGGGGCTACAACCTGCCAACCGCAATCCTGTATTCTCTTTGCTCAAGATTTTACTTCGGCTGTATGTGGTAAAAAAAGATTCGTCTCGAGTCACGGTAGATGCGGCAGTTACTAGTCCTCAACAGTCCTCAATAGACACCAATGGGTACAGCTGATATGTATGTAGATATAGCGTATTGTGTGTGGAGGGACTACGACCTGTCAACCATCATCCTGTATTCTGTTTGCTCAAGATTTTACTTCTGCTGTATGTGGTAATGAAAAGACTCGGCACGACTCACGGCAGATGCGGCAGTTATTAGTCCTCAACAGTCCTCAATAGACAATAGACAGTCCTCAATAGACACTAGAAATAGCGTATTGTGTGTGTCAAGGGGGGAGGTACAACCATCATCCTATATTCTGTTTGCTCAATGGTACATACCAGTAGTCCAGTAGATAGGTATCACCACATTAGTTCAAAAACAAACAAATCTTTTTGATCGTTTTGTCCTGTTGCAATGAATCAGCCTTCTTACCGTCGCTATTGTTGTCATGGTGAGAATCACCGGCTCATTCAATACCATCGTGATGCTGATAATCCACATCTTTCATCATCCATAACTTCTGTTCACTCACTCACTCACTCACTCACTCACTCACTCACTCACACACTCACACACTCACTCACTCACTCACACACTCACTCACTCACTCACTCACTCACTCACTCACTCACTCACTATAACTAACTCACTAACTCACTCACTCACTCACTCTCACTCACTCACTCTCATCCACTCACTCACTCACTCACTCTCACTCACTCACTCACTCACTCACTCCTCACACACTCATTCAAGCGCACTCACTCACTCACTCACTCACTCTCACACTCACTCACTCACTCTCACTCACTCTCACACTCACTCACTCACTCACTCTCACACTGACTCACTCTCACTCACTCCTCACACACACTCACTCAAGCGCACTCACTCACTCACTCACTCACTTCTCACACACACACTCACTCACTCACTCACTCACACTCACTCGCTCACTCACTCGCTCATTCACTCATTCACTCATTCACTCACTCAGTCACACTTACTCATAACTCTGTCACTCACTCACTCACTCACTCACTCACTCACTCACTCACACACTCACACACTCACTCACTCACTCACACACTCACTCACTCACTCACTCACTCACTCATTCACTCACTCACGCACCCACCCAGTCACACACTCAGTCACTCACTCTCCACTCACTCACTTACCCACTCGCTCACTCACTCACTCACTCACTAACTCACTCACTCACTCACTCACTCACTCACTCACTCACTCACCCACCCACTCACTCACTCACTCACCCACTCACTCATTCACTCACTCACTCACCCACCCACTCACTCATTCACTCACTCACGCACCCACCCAGTCACACACTCAGTCACTCACTCTCACTCACTCACTTACTCACTCTCTCACTCACTCACTCTCACACTCACTCACTCTCTCACTCTCTCTCTCTCACTCACTCACTCTCTCACTCACCCACTCGCTCACTCACTCACTCACTCACTCACTCACTCACTCTCCCACTCACTCACCCACTCACTCACTCACTCACTCACCCACTCACTCACTCACTCACTCACTCACACACTCACTCACTCACACACTCACTCACCCACTCACTCACTCACTCACTCATTCACTCACTCACACACTCACTTACTCACTCATTCACTCCCTCCCTCACTCACTCACTCATTCACTCACTAACTCATTCACTCATTCACTCACTCACTCACTCTCTCTCTCACTCACTCACTCTCTCACTCACTAACTCACTCACTCCCTCACACTTACTCACTCAGTCGCTCACTCATTTCATAGAGCTTACTCGGAACACATATACATGTATGACTTTGTTTCCTTTATTCATTGTCGTGCTAGTCCCTGATTCTAGATATAGAACATAAAGAAATTGTCCAAATGGCCGCCTACTTATAATGAGTGCAAGAAATTCCACCGAAGACTACGAATGTATAGTCTCCCTACGCAATACATAGTCCTGCAAAGTAAATCAACTCCCCTTATCATGTAGTAGAAGCTGCTATACTTAGTAATACATAGTAAGCAATTTGTGACCAAGATAGCTATGTAATGACATGATATGACAAGACAGATTGGAGGTGTTCAGTAGTGTCTCCATAGTTAGCTAATCCTGAGTGACGATTTGCTATAACTACTAACGGCTTTACTCTACTCGTGGAGGGCACTTTTACATAATCTAATATTGTTCAGTACTGATGCTATGTTGGGATGGGATGTCTTGTCCCCGTAGATAACTTTCATCATATTCAAGACTGTCGGTAATACTTCATGGCTTTACTGTGATCACTGAGTCGTTTCCAACATACCCCAATGTTAGAAAGTGATTCCGCAACGTCAGGATGTGGCGATGTTTCGCCATAAATAGCTTTCTTCATCTTTAGTGACTGTTCGTAATAACTGATAGCTTTTCTATGATCACCAAGGTGACTCCAACATGATCCAATGTTGTTTAGTGATTTAGCAATGTCGGGATGTGGAGTTGTTTCGCCATAGACAGCCTTCATCATCTTCAGTGACTTTTCGTGATAACTAATAGCTTTCCTCTGATCACCAAGGTGACTCCAACATGCCCCAATGTTGTTTAGTGATGATGCAATGTCTGGATGTGGCGTTGTTTCCCCATAGATAGCTTTCTTCATCTTCAGTGACTGTTCGTAATAACTAATAGCTTTCCTCTGATCACCAAGGTCACTCCAACATACCCCAATGTTGTTTAGTGATGATGCAATGTCTGGATGTGGCGTTGTTTCCCCATAGATAGCTTTCCTCATCTTCAGTGACTGTTCGTAATAACTGATAGCTTTCCTCTGATCACCAAGGTGACTCCAACATGCCCCAATGTTGTTTAGTGATGTTGCAATGTCGGGATGTGGCGTTGTTTCACCATAGATAGCTTTCCTCATCTTCAGTGACTGTTCGTAATAACTGATAGCTTTCCTCTGATCACCAAGGTAACTCCAACATGCCCCAATGTTGTTTAGTGATGAAGCAATGTCGAGATGTGGCGTTGTTTCACCATAGATAGCTTTCCTCATCTTCAGTGACTGTTCGTAATAACTGATAGCTTTCCTCTGATCACCAAGGCGACCCCAACATGCCCCAATGTTGTGTAGTGATCCAGCAATGTCGGGATGTGGCGTTGTTTCACCATAGATAGCTTTACTCGTCTTCAGTGACTGTTCGTAATAGCTGATAGCTTTTCTCTGATCGCCAAGGCAGCTCCAACATGTCCCAATCTTTTCAAGTAACGAGGAAAATACGGGACTCAGTTTGTTGTGTGCATAAATTCTATTGCCAGCGCTAAGTACCAGTTCGTAGTAGCTCTTTGCTTTGTCATAGTCACCGCGACTGCGTGAGACACTGCCTAATGCCAAAAGTATGTCAAACAGCTTTTCCTGGTCACCACACGCCGCCTCCTCCAGTGCTGCCTCCAAGTGACGTATGGATGCGTCTAACTGCAAAAGCTGATGCGTTATTCGACCCCTGGTTTAAGACGAGTTGTCAAAGATGGCTGTTGGGAATATCGTTGTTGGTTGATTATCCTTTTTAACTGTGTTCATAATGCATCTTTTTAATGGAAAGGCTGTATAGTAGTACCTGAACAACATTTTAGAGTCCGGTATGTGGAAAACTGACTCAACTACCGTGTCTTCTACGTCATGTTTGTCCAGTTGGACTTTCATCTCCGCGAGAGGAGACAGTTTGTCCTTCTGTCCTCCGTTGGCGATGTACGTTCTTAACCGTAGCTCCGCTGAGATGCTGATCAGCACAGTCAAGTGGTGGGCATTTTCGTGACTGATCC